CTCGTAATTCTGGCTGTGGTGTCGGCCGTAGCATTCACTGCGTACCACGCTACGCTATATCGCCCGTTGAAGGCTGAGGTGACGCCCAGGGCGTCCAGCGTGACGCTCTTCGTGCCTCCAACGCAATCGTCTAGGAGTAGCTGTACGTGCTTATCGCCCGACATATTCCAGAACTAGAGATGTTGGTAAAAAAAGTGGGGTTCGGGGGAATCGCGAACTTCGGTAGAGAGCTTTAGCGTGTCGCCGTCCAGGATAATTGACACAGTGGGCTTGATAGGAAGGGGTGTAACAACGTCGGTGAGCTGCACACCGCTCGGCACGGTATCGATCATGCGCGCAAAAAACGAGGCGTACGTCGAAGGAAAGAGTTCGGGCGAGTTGGCGAATCTATCTGGCCATTGACTATGTGGCAACGTCGCGAACTTGAAGGATGACACACCCTCGCATGGTGACGTTACCATCGCTGCCGAAAATCCGCTTGTCGGAATTTGTGGTGTCGTTAGCCCCTACAGCCAGTGAATTTTGTGTGGTACCCGAAATGTACTCCATGGCGCTGCCAGGAAGTCAGCGCGGGCTAGTTATATTATACGATGGCTACCCACACGTTATTGTCGAAGTGAGTAAAGGTGCTGTCGAAGTGTGGGTATCGTTGCTGTCGTTCAATTCAGGGACGATGTCAGGGAACGGCGCGTGTTCCACGCCGCCAAATGAGTGTCTATTAATAATAAGCCAGAAACAATGTTTGGCCCGAGGCGCACATACCCGCATGCAATAAGGCTGATCATCTCAGTCGGCGTGAATCCTTGTTGGACAAACGACGCAATGTGCGGGTCTAGATCTTGCTCCGGTCGGAGTACGCCCGGCGAATTGGGCGCCGTAGCGTCAAGCCGTCCACCGCGGTACGCAATCTCAGGGCCCCCGCTGCGGATTGAGTTGAATGGAACGATAACGAGATCCTGGAAGGCTTACCAGGCTTCTACAGCCATGAGTGCTGCAACTGCAATGAAATCGGTAACTGTGAGTACAGGGTGGTAAGAGAGAACACATTTGGGGCATTGAACGTACCAGAAACGTAGCGGTTGGAGTTTGGTGCAACCACCGTAAGAGTATTCTTGAACCCGGTGCCAGCGTTCTGTTGGAATACGGCCCGTGGGCATGAAGGATGTCATAATCAGCGGCGCATAATACATCTCTGCGGATGGATGCGTCCAAGCCTCCTGTACCGTCCTCCACGCTGTGTGTTGCCATATCGTGATCTTCGTAAAGGGTGAATGTTGAAAATTATGGTCTTACCGTGCGCAACCAGTCGGCGGCGTTGGACCCTGAACCTGACCCATCTGGGGGCGAGAAGGAATTGATCACAGGGCTCGAGAAAGTTATCAACCCCCACTTGAGCGTGGTCCGGAAGGCCGAATCTAATACTGTCGAGTGCTTCGAGCTGCGGCGAAGGCCATATGTAGGCTTTCCCGGTCGCAAGTAAGGACAGGAGGGAAAGGCCGAGGAACATTTTATCGAAACATCTGTTTTGATGAACCTTTTTTGGGTGGAAGTTCGCCGAGGCTCGAGATGTAGCTCTCAGGACGGGGGCCAGTGCGGCTGTCGGATCCACACGCGCTCTGAAAGATCCATTTCTATGCCGTAAAAAAAGATCCGGGCGTGGGTTTAATCTCCGCAACGGCTCGAATCAGAGGATTTCATGCACCTCCCTCTTTGTGGGCCTCCCGCTTGGAGTGCAGTCTCACGCTCAATCTGGGTTCTCCTACGTCAACCATTTACCTCGAATTTTATTTTATCTTCCCCCAAGTTTATGTAATACTCAGCGGTAAGTTCGCGACAAACAATAAGTGCTCTAATGGCTCCAGACTACAATCCTGGACTCTCTTGGGAGTCTCATCAACAGTTTCGTGGATCTCGTCGTACTTCTGTTTGCATCCAGAGGAAGCACTCCACGTCTTTGTACTCAGTCCTTTTCTTATTTGTAATGTCGCAATTCAGTACACGGAATGATCTACTTAGGAATTAGTTCGGCCAGGAGAAGCAAAAATCCGGAAGGATTACAAAGAGTTCATTCCATTCCATTCCCAGAATGTTTCCGAAATGAAATGTGGCTCAAATAAAATCCGGACTATTATAAATTCGAGACGCGACTCACGTGACCGTACCGTGCCGATCTTACGAATGGAGCTCGTGGCTGTGCCGTCAAACGTTGTTCTTTTCTTCCCTGTTTTTTTTAAACCCGCATACCTGGATTTCAGCGTTGCATCTTGACAGACGATCTGCATCCTGACAGACGATCCGTGCCCTTGACGACGTATATTCCTGGTTCTCCAGATCCCCGCGAGCGATGTTCTGGCTGACGAGTGAAATGAAGGGCTGTCACGTACCCGCGCCACTGCTCAGGCCTCCGCCTGGCTCGGGCACTTGGGAGTCTCACCTCTGGTCATGGGGATTCGAAAACAACAAACGCTACTTACAAGGACCGCCGTCCTGGGTCCCATGCAGTGTGAAACACGAACTCGAAAATCGCGATCGGAAATAAGCGCACAGCCGCCGCCCATCTAATAGTTCGACGAGTCAATTGCGCTGTGCTGGCACCATTCCGCGCACTGCTCCCGCCGCACAATTGGCTTTACGCACCTCGTATTGTCCCCGGATCCCCCGATCCCTGGGTTTCAGAGCTCGGACCAGGTACCATCTCCCCGAAATCGCCGCAAATCCCGAGGATGCGAATAGGCGCCACTTACACAATAAAAAGCTAGTGAGGGTGCGCTGTTGGCCACACCTCACTTTCTCCCCTCCCACACCCACCCTCCACTTTTCCTTTCCGTTTTTTCTTTTCGTGCACGAACAATGTCAACGACCGCCGCTCTCGCGCTTATGTTTGCCTCGCTGCTCCCTGCGGCTCTGTCGGCCACCATCTCCGTCCAGGTTGGTCCCAGTGGCAACTTCGTATATGACCCACCATCCATCACCGCTGCGGCGGGCGATATGATTGAATTTACCTTGTACGCTCTCTTGTTTGCCTCCAGGGCCCGATGCTGACCGTTCCTGAACAGCAACCCGAAAAACCACACGGTGACCCAGTCGTCCTTCAACGAGCCATGTGTACCCCTCGATGGCGGCGCCACGTCCGGCTTGTACGTTTCATTCATAACTCAATACGTAACAACCACCGACCCTGCATTATTCGTTTTTTTTTTCAGCCGCCCGGTCTCCAACGTTTCCGGCCTGCTCCCCACCTGGACGTTCGCCGTTGCCGACGCCACGACGCCGTTATGGTTCCACTGTGAACAGACAGGCCACTGCGGCAAAGGTACGTTACCCCCATTTGCGTCCGAAATTGCAACCTCACACCGCATACAGGGATGGTGTTTGCGATCAACGCCCCCGCGGCGCCCGACCCGCACTCCTTCAGCGCGTTCCAGGCGCTCGCGATGCAGCTCAACGGTACCGCCTCCGCATCTGCCTCCGCCCCTGCGACGACCACCGACGCCTCGTTCACCACGCCGCCGGCGCAGTCGTGGGCTAGCGCGACGGCTACGGTGACTGACGGCGCTTCGACGTGGACTACCGTGTACACGAGCTACGCGGGGACGCCGGCACCCACCTTCGCGGCGACGCCCATGGACCACAAGATCCTCGTTGGCGCGGACGGGCTCACCTATACGCCGTCGAACATCAGCGCTGCTATAGGTGACGCCTCTCTCTCTCTTTATCGCAGACACTGTGCTAACAAAACGCTCGTTCTACAGGCGACACCGTTACCTTGTGCGTTGTTCCCTTCATTCATTTGTTGTACTTTTACTTATAATTGGTTTCTGAAATGTAGCGAGTTCCACCCGAAGAACCACACCGTGACGCAGTCGAGCTTCCTCGAGCCGTGCAAGGCGCTCGCGGAGACGTCCACCACGGGCCAAGTCGGGTTCAAGTCCGGGTTGTACGTCTCTCTCCCCCTCCGTCTTTGCATTCAATTAATTAACGCGTAATCTTCAGCCAATTCGTCGCCGACAACGCCACCGACTTCCCGATGTTCCAGATTACGATTAACGACGTGCGTCTTCCCCCCTTTCCCCTTTCCCTCCCTCCCTCCTCCCTTCCATTTCCTCGTACTGACTCCCCACCCAGACCGCGCCCATCTGGGGCTACTGCGGCCAGCAAGGCCCCCCCGTGCACTGCACCTCCGGCATGGTCTTCAGCATCAACGCCGTCGAGAGCGGGCCCAACAACTTCGCCGCGTTCAAGCAGATTGCAATGGGCTCCGGATCCAGCTCCGCCTCTGCTGGTGGAAGCGGAACGGGGTCCGCGGGCGCGCCGGGCGCGTCGCAGAAGGCTGGGGGCGCGCTTGGGGGGGCAAGGGCGGCGTGGGGGGCGGTGATGGGGGCGGTTGGGCTGGCGGTGGGTATGGTGTTGTTGTGAGTGTTGTGAACGCTGATGCGGGTCTGAGTGCTGTGAGCGCTGCTACGAGTATGGGCGCGTTGTGGGCGCAATCTGGACGCCACTGTGATGTTTTTTATTTGACTTCTCTTTACTCTACTTACTACGTATTATGACCCGGACGGACGCGACGCTTTTCTTGGTGCACGGCTTTCTACATTCTTCAATTTTGGGGGAGCCGGTAGCAATGATCATGATTTTTTAATGTTAATGTTTTTGGTTCGACGGCGCATGTCGGGAAAAATGATGTGAAAAAGTTCAATTTTCGTCAAACGAAAGATTCGCTACGAACGGGAATTCATGCTTTCAAAATTTTCACTGGCGTAGGATGGCGGAAGACCAAAAAAATTCAACCGAGGCAAAAATCGTAGCAAACCTGGTCATCGCCTGACCCTGGTTCGATCAGGGAACTTCCTCTGATGTTTTTTTCTCATGGCCTCTACAGTATATCAAGAGGACGTGTAACGGCTACACCACCATGCCGTGATTACATAGGAATTATACTGTATTTCGTGGGCGTCCTTGTTGTACTTAGTTCAGGAAAAAGAAAATATTGGAAGGATATAAGGCCTAACCCGGAGTCGAACCGGGAACTTCCTCTCAATGACACATTCTGCCTCACTATATGAGGACGTGTAACCACTACACCACCAGGCCTTGACTGTAACCCAGCTACAGCATATTTATAAGTCCTCTTTGCTCAGGTTCCATACAAAGAAAGAAAAGATTCAGCTGGCGAACGGCCTGGACCCGGGCTTGAACCGGGGACTTCCTCTATTTATACCAGGCCTTGATTCCATGTAAACTCAACCGTATTTCTCAAGAAAAGACACTCTACGCTGACGAACGAGTAATCTATAACGGGAAAGTTCAGACTGGAAAGAACCCAAGAAGGGCCTTCCATAAATCCCAATTATCTACTGTTCCGCGTGATTCGAGATCGGGTTGCTTTAGCCTTTACATATTGCTAAACATCTCAATCGATCTCGATCGAAGCATGCACGAAGCCCTCGCGAACACACGACGAAGACGAAACGCAATAAATCACGATCAGTATTGAACTTGGAGAAACCGCGCGCGGCCAAGAGATGGGATGTGTATTCACCGCTGTAGACCAGGCATTGTGGTCTCCTCGTCGTCGCCCAATACGTGCACGAGACCCGAGGATAAAAGGGTTGGCTACCTCGCGGCAGGCAGAAGGGCAGGAGGACGCACGTAAACGCTTCCCCGTTCCCACTTCGATCTTTCGCGGCCGCTCGTTTGTCGCCATTGGTCCAACTTATCGACTTGGGCGACTATACTCCGCGCGCCGCGTTGCATTCGGAGCCGGGGACGTCGACCATTGCAAGAGGCAGAGATTCGAGCGCAAGAATTAATGACAGTTCGGCCTGAGCCTCAAGGGTACGGGCGTTCGTTCTGTGCGAGCTGCAGTTTCGTAACGGCCGATGTCTGCCGGTGCGGAGAAGTTTGTTTGTAGGAGCTGGAATATAGACGCTGCTTGACCCCAGCGCGACGAGCTCCGATCTCAAATTCCAGAGCTAGAAGCGCGGAGGGAGGAGGCGATCTTTACTACAGTCCGAACGTCCAGCAAGTTGGATTTGGCCCTCACAAAGAAGAGCCGCGTTGCAGTGGCCGTTTAACTTTCGACTCGCCGACAGCAGACGTGTCGCAGGCCAACACCCTCAAAAATTTCGTATTTGTGGAATCTGGTGCGAGAGACTGGTAAGAGGATTCAAACGTCTTCGAAGAGTATCCGTTGTGGAGGTTGTGGAAAAGCGAGTGGCGGTGCCGGGCGGAGTTTCAATCTCGGAACAACTCGGCTCAGACTGTCTCCTCCATGTCTCCTCAATCCATCTCATTCGTGGACTCAAATTCTACGTGGTCGACGCATGTTTTGACGCTGGACCACCGCAGTCGACTTCGGCCCTCCTTGACGACTGCCCCTAGCTCTCGCTCCAACTTGAAGTCCGGCGTCCAGAATCTCCAGATGTCTGCAACTTCAAGAAGGCTCTTTCTTAGCTGTCATCCTACCCCCGTTCTTTTCATCATGGCTTCTGTCTCGCATCTGGAACTTGAAGCCACCGGGCAGGTTTTAGGAAGACACTGCTTACTAACCCTCTACGAGCGGTGGGCTCGGAGGAGTTAGAAATCCAAGGCAACCATCGTATGTCATGCCATCTTTCCACTCCCGCGACCCGCTCGGTTTTGGTGAGAAAATAGGGCACGTTTTGACACAGTCGTTGTTTGCACTCGTTCACTACTCTTTACTTGCACTGGCAGGACTCGGGCAGCCGTGTATTCTGCATGGTTCTTTTAAATTCCTGCGCTGTGTCGTTCCTATCAGGCCATCTCCTCCTAACGCGCCAAGAAGCACGATTCAAGAACTTCATTTCTGGCAGTCGTGTTCACTTTTGGCGTCTGAACCAATTCGCTCGACTTGTACGCAAGGCGGCAACTGGAGGAAATAAATGAGCGCCTAGGGCTCCGACCCGTCCCTTGGGTGATTGGGAGAGGGTTGATACGGCCGGGTGCCGGATGGGTCGACCCGTCAACGGGGTACCCGTACCCGTCCGTCGACGGGTTGAAGGGTCACCCAGCGATCTTCCGCATATCTGGCTGGAATTCAACTTGAAAACTAGTAGGTTAATGGCGAATGTTCGAAGGGATTGAACTCACCCATATAAATATCAGTTAAAATTCATTCTCTCCCCTGGGTGGCCTTTCGGAACTTGCCGAAGGTACGATGTAAGTCAGATGTAATAATGTTCAATGTCCTCCAAATCATTTGGCGCTGAGCAAATTATCTAACTACTGATACGGACGAAATAGGTATGTGGTAAGGCTCTTACCAGAATACCATTTGCTCAACCGACAGATGCAAGTAGATGAACTTATATGCTGCATCGAGGTATGTTATTTACAGTTTATTTCCTCTGTGCAGTTGCTGTACAGCAAGGATGCGCCGAGGAGATTATGAGCAGACTCTATGTTAGGTGCCGGTTCCCGGTTATACAACACCCCGCGTACCGCGCACTCATTACGCACAGTTGCGGTCTACTTATGCTTGCTATTTCTTGTTAGCTATCATGGACGTCAGCATTAGTATAAATACTATACTATTTGTTTGCTATTCTTTACTTTATGCCTTTACACCACCACCACAGTACTTGACTCAAACAACAAATACAAGTTGTTCTAGTTCACTTGGTGATCCGTGAAGAAGTGAAAGGTCAACCTTAACACTCTATTATCTATAGGGTCTGATATAAGTATTGCCAGAGTCCAAGAAAGAAAAAATTGCACCCAGTGATACAAGTCTGTGCACAGATCCGTCGTGACGGCTGTCACGGGTCCCGTCCGTCGGGCCAGCTTGGAACTCGCGTCGACGGCCGGGTGGACCCATCCCGCCGACAGTGACGGCCGTTTTTGCGACGGCCGTCACGTCGGACGGACGGGTCGGAGCCCTATCAGAACGTCTAATGGAAAGGATTCTCACGGCCAAACATATCTTCTTGATATCTTCAGTCTGACAGCTCCCGCATGATGTGATGAGCTGGCTTTCACTTGTACGCCTCTCGATTGACTATCAGGCTACAATTCGCGAGCAACGTTGACCCCAGGGAGCCCACATCCTACCTCTTCGAGCATGACCCTGCTGCTTTCGGATCCTCCCGATCGCTTGTGGCCCGATCCTGGCGGTCTTTTGTCGCCGGGGCACCCTCCTTCCACTGGATATCCCATCGCGCTGGAGGGGCCGATGCTGGAACACATGCATGCGGGTCCCTGGCTTGCGCTCCATCAGGTGAGTTCAATGCCGGGTCTAATGAATCACCTTCCTTCACGACGCCGGCAGAACTTTGCGTCCTATGTATTGCATAGGCTCAAATATTGCGATGGGTGCGTCTCGCGTTTCAGTCTACCCGGCCTAACATAAAAATCTGACGAGTCTTAGCCTAAGAAACAATGTTATAGAATTATCCAAACAATGGGCGGAATGGGACGTATTGACCAGTCTTGCGAATTACCAGTACGTCGTGGATATGCTGTTCAAATGCTTGGAGGTCATAGTGAGTATGATCTATATTAAAAAAATTCGCTTCTGCTTAATTTTTTCGAACAGAAGTCGTCACCCCAATCAGGACCTGCTATTGCGGAGGAAATATCGCAGCAGATGTCCCGAGACGTTGCTATGGTTCTAAGCCAAATGGTTTCCGTATTGGACAACAAGGAGACCTACAAGCAGTTTTTGACATGTCGCGGAACTCTTGCTCAACAGCTTCTTGATCTTGTGCAAGATGTATGCCACCCCTTTCGTGTTCATATACCTGTGTTCACCCACATCACTGTTTCAGCTTCTGGACTTCTTCTGTGATTCGGCGTCCAGACCCTTGCTTTCCACAGCTTTGCTGCGACTTTCTCGTGCATCCGGCCTTCATCCTACATGTTTTGCTATATCCGGATTGGAGAAAATAGGCCATCAAGTCGCTGGAGGGGGGTTTGGTGATGTTTGGAAAAGTGTAGTGGATGGTCAAACTGTCGCCGTTAAAAGCGTACGGATATTCCAGGATGCTGATGTGAAAATTGCGTTGAAGGTTTGTTAGCCTCCAGAGATACCATCGTAAATCACACGTCCTTTGTAGGAATTCGGTCGCGAGGCCGTCATATGGCGCCAGCTTTCTCACCCAAACTTGCTTCCTTTTTTCGGGCTATATTACCTCGACACTAGGCTATGTCTTGTATCGCCCTGGATGGAACATGGCCACCTTCTACAATTTTTGAGAAATGCTCCCTCCAACATCGATCGAGTTTCTGTTGTGAGTACTTCGGCCTAATCATCATATTTGGATAATTTATGTTGGCTCCAGATTTTGGATGTAGCAAGGGGGCTCGAGTATCTACACAGCAACAAGGTGGTGCATGGGGATTTGAAGGCTGTACGTTACATTGTTCTTTTTGGCCTACATTCCAATCATTATCTTTCATTTACAGATGAATATTCTGGTTGCTCCATCAACCAGGGCATGCATCGCTGATTTCGGGCTGTCATCCATCGCCGATGTGTTACCGTTGGATTTTACGCATTCGACTCCCATTCTACGGGGAGGTACTGTACGATATCAAGCACCCGAGTTGCTGTCTGGCACATGTTCAATCCACTTTGGATCGGATGTTTACGCGTTCGCTTGCGTCTGCTATGAGGTCGGTCGAAGGCCTCGTCATTCTCATTCTTCTCTTCTAACTTTATGCTTGGGACAGATATTAACTGGTAAAGCACCCTTCTTCGATCTGGCAAACGAGATGGCAGTCGCAATAAATGTTATCAACGGGAAGCGCCCGTCGAAACCAGAAACGTTCTCCCGCGAGAACATTTGGGTGCTCATCCAAGACTGCTGGAAACAGGAACCAGACCAACGGCCTACAATGACTGAAGTATTCCAGCGGCTTACCAGCCCTGGAGCCGAAAGTATGCAATCCGAAATAGATTGGGACGAGATATACAGCGCTAGATTTCGGCGTTCTGTTCGGCCGTGGCCTCTCCTCCCGTCGGTCACGCAAATCGAAAGCAGAATATCCGCAAACGAAGTCATGTCTGTCTCTCCGCCTTATTTTTATTCGACAGAGCAGATAGAGGGCAACGGCCGGACCGCGTCACTTCT